ATATTATCTCTCTTACAAAATACTCAGCCTTGTTATTTTCCCTGGCAGAGTATCAGATTCTGATAAACGGGTTATCAGCAACATAACTGCTATTGAACCAAAGATACAAATGGTATGAAACAATCAAGCTCCTCTGAAAAGTAACCCATGAACACTCTGAAGTAGAAAGTAATGAATACTTATTAAAAATGAAGATAAGAAACAGGTAATTTAGGTAATGTTTTGAATAATTTTGTGTCATGCATGGAACACATTAAGGTTTTTCTTAATGAGAAGAATCAACATTTCCCAAAATCGAACGAATGTTTAATTCTGACTGATATAACACAACATATTAATGAACTATGGGTTGCTAGGAAAGGGTCAAACTAAACCTGAACATTTTGAATACTGGAAAGGCTTTGTTACAAAATTAAATATATTTTCCTATGATATTAATACTAGTATCTATAAATACTTCCCAAATGTAAAGTGCATGCAAATACATCGACCTTAGACAGATGAACTTCAAACCTACATTGAAAAATTTAAGAAGTTTTCCAAAAGATGCAAAGAAGCTTGTATATTTTCCTTCCTGATCAAACCACATTTAATAGACCCATTAATATTCCTATTTGATTTGTCAATTTTTGAGTGGATGGGAGTTAATAGTTTTGAAATGGAACTTACTGAACTAGCATGTTCAGAATTATGGAAAGCAAAATTTATGGAATCATGAAAAAATCTGGAAGATAACTCTAACAGCAATAGTTATTTTAAATTGCTGGATGTCAATGCCAGAGATTTAATTATTTGAAGAAAATTTCATATGCTCTGCTTTCCGCTTTTGTTCCAACATCCTAAGTAGCACACGACGTTGCAAACTGGTCTGAGAGGTTGCAAAGTGGTCATGGTAACTTTTACGACGTCTTTACAAAGTTGCAAAGATGCAAAATATTTGCCGTTGCATCTTGGCAATTTGTCGACATCGCTGAAACGTCATAATATGACCACTTTTAGACATGGTCGTTTTAGCATCTTTTACATAGTTCATCAGCTTTAATTTTAGAATGAAAAGAGACTAAATCTGCCATTTCAAGAACCTGAAGTCCACATAAGATTTATTTAGCAATGGTTTTATTGCTTTATTTTATCTAAATATATTAATCTAAGGTAGATTCATCTAATGAAATATAAATATACTATAAATACTTTTGGTTTATTAAATTTAATTAGTATTAAAAATACGAGCTAAATTATTGTTTAATTTTTTTAAAAATAATTAATACCTTAAATCTTTATTTATAAATATTATAGCAAAATATTTAAAATGAAACTAAGCTATAAAAATTAAGTTATCAAGTTATGCATTTTATATATTTTAAAAAATCATATCCGAAATCAATGCAAATAACATGTTAGCAATTATTTCACTACCAAAATATAACTTTAAATTTTATAAATTTCTGAAGTAAGGATGAATTTATTTGAATTAATATGGTGACATAATATGAAACATTTTACCACATACAGTGCAAAAAATAAAGTTTTTGCAAAGATATGATTGTGTGTGATAAATTACTAATAAATGTTGACATCAAAATTAAAGAAACTGTGAACAAAAATATGAAATTCATTACCTATAAAAATTCTGATGAACTGTTTTTACGTTTTTGTCCACCTAAATGCATGGTTTAATCCTAGTATACAGTACACTCAAGATTTGGCGACATTGACATTAAAAATGTTTTAGCGAGCCCAATACGTATTTTTTGTAAATGTAATCTTGTGAACATTGTTCGTAATTCTATTCAGTTGAAATAATTCTTCTAAGCCATTTTAAAAAGATTCTATTAAATTATTAGAAGAACCGTCGAAAGGTTTAATGCAATCATATAAATCGCTGAAAAATTACACTGAAATGCTGTTCAACCGATCGACATTCTGTGTATATAATTTACTGGATGATTATATAAACGAACATCTGAGCTCGAGGCTTATGCGCTTTGGCTATCTGCCAAATTCGAACACGTTAGTTAACTATGCAATAAATTTCAGACTCCATCTTATTTTCAGGAATGTTTTCTTCACGGTTTTGCAATTCACCGTCGGAATTAAATACTGGAGAGCTTCAATACAGAAAGAGAACGATGCACAACAATATAATGATGGTAGTTTATTTTGAATTGAGGAGAAATCATCTTGGTAATGAGGAATTTCTGCTTATTTTGTTTGTGAATATCTGCTCTACAAGACCGCACCAAAATTTTGAATTTTGGATGCATCGTTTAAAGAAAATATTGGATGCAGCTTGCTAAAATCGTCCATACAGTGAAATAGTGTTCTGTTTTGGTGTTTTATGTGTTACCAGTGATTAAAATTATATGGTGGTTTTCTCCAATCTTCAGTGGCCCCAGCGGCATAATATTTGGATACACAGATTAGCGATTCGGTTATAATGTCCTAAGTGCTATATCATATATCATTCATATTAATCGATTATTGTGCTGGTGCTCAGAATTAATTCATATAAAACCAGAAACTACATACAACGTTAAGGCATTTTCTGATTTTGTTGAAAATGCAATCAATGCAGAAGCAATAACAATTCAAGCTGTTTTATGTTCATTAGTTTCAAAATACAAAGAAATTATTGGACGGGTCCCAGTACTTAATATAACTGCTGAAGATGAATTAGATATATATAATAACATATTAGAAAAATACAAGGAATATATTAAAATTAATAATAATGCACATTCAATTTTATGTTGTCTTTTGTATAGTATGCAGAAAAGGTTAATGATTTTAAAGTGTATGAAATGTATGATTGAAAAACAGTGTTAAGGAAACATTAGCATTAGTATGAAATATTGTAATCTATAATTATGTGATATTTAATTGTGTAACATTAACAAATACTAAATATTTTTTATTGATTGCAATTTGCAGTTTTATTACTTTTCGTTTGGTATCTATACTTCCAAACATTGTGTAATTCACGTTTTTTTTTTAAATATTGCCATTATGTATGTTTATTAGATTATCTCAATAAATGAATGTTGGAAATTAGGTTTTAATTTTTATTAAATTTAATTATATTCTAATAATGATAACAAAGGAATTCTTAATAAATAGAAACAAAAAGTTTCATCGTGTGCTATTTAACGAGGAGCTATTTAACGTACTTAGATTACTATCGTATACTATATTATTTAAATTATTTCTGTACAGTAACATAAGGAAAGTTATTGATTATATAAAGTGCATGAAATAATCATTGTAATCTTCCACTATTCTAAAATGTAGAAACTAAAAATAAGTAAATACATTAACATATGATCGAAATAAATGTTGTTAAAAACATCAGCATTATTAGTAAATACTGCAATCCATACTTATTGCACTTTTAATTACTTACTATTTAAAAAACATGAATATTTTTTTATTATTTGGAAATTTTAGTTCTGTTACCTTCTTTCTGCTTATTTATACTTTCAAACACTGCTAGTTCATGTTTTTTCCTAAATAGTGCTGCCATGTATGTTGTTAGTGTTTCATTTGCATATCTTGGAGATATAGAAGTTAATGGTTATATTGTTTACTACAAAACGTGGATAAATTTATACTTCAGGTAAAATACTGATTATGCTACCTTAAAAACTGCTTCCTAATTTACCATGATGGGGGCAATTTTGAATGTCTCAGATTTAACAGAAATAAATGTGATAATGCTGTTATAATCAGAAACGCTCTTTTTTTTTTTTACCCAAATATATATCTTTACTTTTATTTATGTCTGACTGAGTTTTATTTACTTAAAACCTACTATTAATGTTATATATTTATAATAAGCACTTTCATAATTATTCTCACTTACATACTAAAGGATTAAGGAAAAAAAAATGATGAAATCTTAAATAATTGTGACTTGGAATTTAAGTTATTTAAAAGATATAGTTTAAAGTACTGAAAATAATTAAGTATATTATTAATTATGGATATTTATTCTAAAGAGAAAAACTGTATTATCTTCATGTTTTCAGGAAATGATAAAATATTTAAACTTTAGAAAAATACAAGGACTACAAAATTATATAAAAGAAGAAAAATACATTAATTATTAAGCTTATTTTTCAGCATAAATCAATATGCAACACAAGGACATAATAACAACGTTTTCACAACTGTTGCAAAAAGGTCGAATTCTGCGAACATTTAGGCGTCGTTAAGACGTCGTGATGCGATGCTTTCACAACCAAAATATAACCTAATAAAGATGAAATAATGACGTCTGTGCAACAAAAACCTCATCTGCAAAGACGTAATAAAGACGTCTTTGCAACAGTTGCAAAACAGTGGAGTTTCGCGGACATCTGGGCATCTTAAAGATGACATATTGAAATGTTTTTGCAACAATACCCGCGACGAGTTTGCAATGTCGTTACGACGTTGCTGTGCTACTTGGAATATCTATGTGAACAAATATATTTTCTCATATAAAAAATATTTTGAGTCTACAAAGAAGTTGTTTAATCGAATATTCAGAATCATGTGTCAAATTGAAAGTCACAAATTATAACCCTGATATTGCGATATTTAGAACGATGCAGGGACAAGGGTCACATTGAAATTTTATTTTTTTATTAAAATATATTGAAGGAATACTTATATTTTATGCAGCTTATTTTTTATTTTAATAAATATGTTTAAAACATACACAATATATAAATTATTTTAATTTTTTATTTATGTTGTAGGAATATTTATATTTTATCTTGTTTATTTTTATGTTATCACACATCTTTAAATGATGCAGAATTAATATATAATAAAACTCTTAAATCTGTAATTTTGTTTACTGTTCCCTAACTCTGCAAGCATTGCTGCAGGAATTGAACTATTTCTTACTGTGTGGCACCTTGAATCATGTTAGTACATTGGTTTGGCACACCACAGCTAAATGGTTTCTGAATCCTGAGCTAGAATATGCAATTAAAAGAAAACAATATTGTACTTACTAAGAGAGTTTTCCTCAGCTTCAATAATGCTTGATATTTGCTTCTTTTCACTGGGATCTTCAGTACGCATTTCAATTTCTTTTAAAATTAATGGCACACGCATAACATGTTGTACAGGTGATACCAACAGATCAGTTAACTGAAGTTTTTTACACCGTGCATCTTTGGAACACCACTGTAAAAGAGTTTATTCATTATTTACAAGATAAAAAAACACTATTTAGTGAAAAACTAAAGCCTGTTCTGTGATTTATGTTAAAATGCAAAATGATGAACATATATTTTTTATTTATGCAAATTTACATAAACTTACATAATTAATAGTGTGAAAAATGTTTACAACAATACTTAATTTTTCATCAATTTTTTCATATAATATTCACTAAACAATAATATCTACATTCTCGGAATAATTTTAGGTTTCATTATATTTATTACATTAAATCAAATGTTTAAACTAATTTCTTAAATTTTGTTCTAACAATTTTCTCTCTCCTCTTTTTTTTTTTTTTTTTTTTTTTTTCATTTCACAATACACATTGAATTTGTGCACTGCATTAAATAATAAAGTCCAAATACTTCAATATGGTGAGTTTAATAAATGGAAGAGAAGTATGTTAATTTCACACCAAAAACTAACTAAGCTCAAAATTAGAATACTGCCTATGTAGAAAATTTTATACACTTTTCTTCAAGAAAAAGAATATTTTTACTCCTTGAAGAATAGAGACTCTAAGTGAAAGCATATATCACTGTGTGAACGGGGAAAACAACAGTTTTGTATGTATACAACATGTTTTTGCTTAAAAAAAAAAAAAAAAAAAAAAAAGAATTAAAAGAAATTCACCATCATTCATAACCTTGGTATTAGGCCCATTAAAAATTATACATATTATATGATTGTAATTTTTAAATTTTTAGAAGTTGTCATAATATTTTCTAGTTTTCATCAAATTAATTTTAAATGTCACTAAGTTTTTCAAAAGCAACTGTTGTGCCACCTCAAGATAAAATCTATGTTCTGTTTTTGTACTTGTCTTTATTTTTTATATTTGCAGTGTCTATTTATATATGTGAAAATTTTTGTCCGGTGTACAATATTTGTTTGGAATATAATGCATAATACTTAATGAGTCACAACTGCATGCACTGCACTTGCTTACCTCTTCCCAGACGATGAGCCAGTATGCCTGTTGGTGCATGAGCATCAGTATACCTGCTGATTATAATTTCAAGCCTTTACTATAACTCCTTCTTTCAATTTCCTCACCAGAACGTAAATGAGCATAACTATTATTTAAACTGAAGTTTTTGTACTATGAGACACAATGTGTTTCTGGCCTATGTGTGCACACTATGTTTAGTTTCTGCCAGCTTTGATAGTTTTAAGTTTTAGCCTTGCATTATTTGTTGCCGGTAAATTGATTTTGATGTTCCGGTTAGAATTATTGAACCAGTTTAGAGAATATTTAAATTTCACAGTCTTTGACTACTATTCTATGTTTTAACTTGAAAGTGGTTATTTAGCTATGGCACTATGAGCTGTGGTTGATATTGTTAGCACAAAAATGCGCATTTATGTTCTAAGTTCTCTTAAACAAAAAATCTGATGTGCACACCCATGACTTCCTTGTACGGAATATTAAATTATACGCAATTTTTCTTGCATTTCATTTAAACTTATTGGATTGAATTAAATCTACTTCATTGACAGCGCATAAACCACAATAGAATAAATGCACTCTTTAAAATTCACTATACTTGTTTACCATAGCGACATTCTGGTGCTAGGTTCACTTAATATTTCATTCATATTATATTATAACTCAGAATGCACAAAATTTATATTATTTGAAGAATTATCTTATCGTTGCCACATGTTCTATTCAAATACTATAATAAAGATAGAATGATGTATAAAAGAAATTAAGCAAACAAAACAAAAAAAGAAATAGTTTTTCACAGATGATTTAATATTTCTCATTCAATTAATTCAGTTCTCACTTTGCGACAAGGCAAAAGTACATAAAAACTCAAAATATCTGTATTAAAAATTATGGAGTAAATCTTAAAACACTTATTTCCTGGAAAAAATTCCAGAAAGGATTAAGTAAGATTTAATTCACAATAATAAATGAAGGCATTATCTTTGTTATTGTGAAGCTTAGTCTCTCTACATTGGCAACAAATTTACTATTCTGCTGTTTGAAATGTAAACAAATATGTCCGCCATGTTATTTAAAACTTAACCGCACTTAAACAGCTTTTAAATTGTTGATAATTGTACAAATATTGCTTCCAGATTTACGAAAGGCATAAAAACCTTAACTGGAAGATAAGAACAACATAATTCAATCATTTTTAAAGCAAAAAATATACAATTTACAATTATATAAGAGTAAAGAAACCGAGATCACTGAGCCGAGTAACAGAGTGGATATATATATATAAATATATTTATATATGTTTGGTGCGGCCATTTGCAACCACAATACGGGGTGCTCATCTATATGTTATGGCAGTCCTATATACAAAATTTCAACGTTTTAAGACTACTCGTTTTCAAGTTATGCGAGATATGTACATATGTACATACGTTTGTACAGATGCCACGAAAAATTCTCTTCAGAATTCATTTTAAAGCAGTTTTATAATTTCTTTGGAGGAAAAGAGTCTTTTATTATGTACAGATGTCACACAAAAACATCGTTAAATTGCATTCGATAGCGGTGAAAATGGATATTTTCGCTGAAATATGCTGCCTGAAACTTTTCGCGATTACAATACTTCCTTTTTACTTCGTACAAGGAAGTAAAAAAGATTTATTTAAACCTTGCCCTGATTTTGTGGCTACTTTCAGCCATAGCGATAATTCACTTCATGTCTGTTAGAGGTTTAGGACTCATTAACTTTTACCCAATTACATAAAACCTCAATAAAAGTCAAGTAATGCAGAAAATTGTTCTGATCATCACAGAGGTGAAAAGAAGAGATTGTTGAAAAGTATGAAGATGGCATGTGTATCTGGGACTGGGGCTATTGCATATTATTATACCCAGTGCGATGGTATCTATAATTGTGAAAAACAAGGACATTATAAAATAGCTTAATATTGCAACAAGGGTTAAATCAATAACAAACTAATATCAACATACTGAAAGATTGTTTTTGACTCTTAGCAGAAAAAACATTTATGTACAGCATATACTTCACCCACTGCAGTTATAATTTAGTATTAAACAGTATTCTAATAATAACAATAGGATTTTTTATGAGAATTAATAAATTATTTTCCCTTCATTTCTGACAGGTAAGGTTCATTTGATATATATCCAGTCTGGTACATGTCCAAGGATAACACTATATTTTGGATTTAATAAAATAGCTATTGTCCCCATGAGCTTTATGTATCATTTCAGTTGCGACTATCTACTTAGATTTAGTGCATTAAAAATAATTTTGCATTTTAGAATTTGTTTTTATATTTTTCAATTAAAATTTTGTTTATTTTGAAATTTTCAAATCAATCTACAGTGAATCAAGACTGATCAAAGCTGGACTATATGAAGCATTACTGCATTACTTTGCTATACTTTAAAAGCCACACTAAACAAGTTTTGAAAAAACTACGTTCTTGAAATATCCAGCTTAAGGATTAAAATGATTTTTTAATGCATAAGAAATTTGAGAAAAACAAACATATTTCAAGCAAATGTAGACTTAAGCAAATAATATCAAATACATTTTTTTCATTTGAATTTCAGCGGTAATCTGAGTGATACAACAAATTCTGCGCAGGATCTAAAAGGCCTCCATCTGTCAACTAAGTCAAGACTTTTTCCAAAGTCAAGTGCACAGAGCTCACTCACCTTTGAAATCCACTTTTGATGATTCTTCTTTGCAACCAAAGATTAGATCATATGCTTTGAAAGAATTAGATAATGTTACTAGCCCTTGTAAAAAACGTGTTATATGTGTACAAGATCAATATACATATTTACATACATATAGTATCAGCACTATATTACACTATGCATATAGTATCAGCACTACATTAGACTATACATATAGTATCAGCACTATACATATTTTTTTAAACAAAATCACTAAAATAAATACCTTTTCAAATTCATTGAATTCCACTTGTCTTCTCAATGTTTCTAAGTAGTTTAGGGCATTAATGTAGTTCAGCGTATACCTATGATAGGCCTGAGTAAGAGCATTTGCTTTTGTACTCTGTAAAATAAAAGAAAAAAAAAGTTTTAGCATACAAAATTTAATATTTTATTAAACAATAACATAAGCAAATGAAAAGCAAAATACATGACAGCATGAATTTCTGTTTAATAATGTGCATGTATGACACGTACCATATCTTGTGTTAGCTAAAAGTCGTGGCCGAACTATGCAATTAGAAGGGTATTCATTGTTTTCAAAACTATGTATGGAATAAATTATATACTTATTGATGGCAACATTACCATAAAAGGGATAAAACAAATTTTTCACTGCAGAAAACTTGAACTGACGGATTGTAATCTTTAAGTTGCAACTTGAAATTAACGCAAATATCTTGATAACCCTGTTAAAACTGTTAATCATTAGTGTGATTAACAGTTTTACTGAGATCATGGCATTGTGTGCCTTCATGCTTTCTGGCTCATGAAGCAGCAGCTGAATGCCTTTAAATAGGAAATCTTAACTTTAAAATTCAATAGCTTTCGCACAGACACTTTTTTAAAAAATTTGTTCCTCTGAATATATTTCTGATGGATGACTGATACTAGTTTTAGTCAATCAATTACGCACTGAGTACACATGAAACAATAAAGAAGCTTTTGAAGTTATATTAATCTAATATCAATATATTTTTTTAAATGTATGCCAATGCCTAGACTTCTAAAACTGCTGAAGGTACTTTTCCATCCAGGTTACTTTTTTGCCACTTTTTTTTTTATTTTGGCATATTTCTTTGCACCTAGGTCTTACAAGTTTAGTTTGACTTCTCTCCTATATGAATTTTTCTTCACTGCAACAGATCCACAAACTTGGATTTGCAAAGAGATGAAGGAACTGCTATCCTTTTTCTTCAAGAGAGAGCTGTTTTTCATGAAGAGAGACCATCTCATGAAATTAAAATGTGATTCACAGTCAAAATGAAAACCAGGAAGAAAATGACTTTGTACAACCAGGAAGAAAATGCAGAACACAAAGGTGGTTTCTTAGATCGTACATTCTTTTTATTACTATTGCAGGATTCATTCAACTTATGGTTTCAGGAGTTACTGCTATTAAATTTTAAAAACTAGCTTACCTCAAATGAATCACAACATAATATTTGGATGCAATAATTATGTAAGTGTAATCTTGTCCTAATGTTAAAAATGATGAATACAACAAAACTGTGGAAATTGTTGAAAACTTATTTTAAGAAAAATTAAAAAATAATGCACGCTGTTCATTTTCCCCCAAGGACTATTTGAAGAATTGTATTAGATTACAGAAAAGCACTTCACAGCTATCTGCCTAAGCATAACAACTGCCTTTGTAAAGGATTTTCTAAGGGAAACTGGCTCATACCACACATGGGGGAAACCAAGAAAAATATCATCCAAACAATTCACCAGGATTCAAATATGGGCAAAAATATCATTGTTCAGAGATCTTTCCTTTTTTTTTTTTGGCAAGTGAGCGAGATTTTGGAAGCAATTTGCTGTGAAATTAAGTTATGTTCCATGGTACTGCTTTTGATCATTTTATTTTGCCTGATATGAAGCCAAAGGGTAAAAAAATGAATAAATCAAAATGTGTGTTGTGAGCTCCATGCTTTATATTTGCTAACGATATTCAAAAGGCATTGTTTTTCTTTTATTTTAGACAGAGTTTTGTTTTTATAGTTTGGCAACAACTCTGTGTGACAGCACAGCTCCCGTCCTAGCAATTAGCCTTTCGGAATTGAGTGCCGTCCCGCATTTCTTACAATCTACTATGTTTCGACCCCACAGAGCAAGGGCAGACAAGGCAGTACCAGTACGGTCCCTGCCGAGCCTTACTCTGTCCCGAGAGCCCTCAGGCCTTCTGTGAAGTCTAATATTATACCCCCATGGCTGAGACTGCCTAGGTACAGATCCTAACCAGTTCTTCCCAGGCATTTGCCCGAGTCAACCTCCGGGGGGATAGTTCGGCAACAGTAAGAAAGACTAGAATAATGTTTTGATTTTCTTAAGTGTGTAAGCAAATAAAGTTTTGGCATACTTAAGCAAGCAAATGTAATTGTTTATTTAAAATATTTCTTTTCAAGTGTTATAGAATGGAGTCAGATTTAATTTAAAGGTGAGAACAACTGAATGAAATAATATTCAGGTAAATTCAGCACAATATTAGTGGTGACCCAGACATAATCTCACTGGATTTTTGAAGATAAATACCATTAAACTTTTAAGCATGGAATTGTTAGTAACGAAATGCTCTCCTGTTAGAGCCAATTTTACTAAAACTTTAAATGAATTGAGTGGTTTATTAAATTAGGAAAAACCTAATGAGGTAGAAATTCGATCAAATTTTGCTAGTTTAAAAAGGATACATGCTCAGCTTTCTAGTTTCGATTCTGAAATAAGTGATTTATTAGTTGCAGATTCTGATGGAAAAAAAAAAAAAAGTAGGACTGCGAGCATTTGATTATTGAAGAATACAATGAGAAGATGCATAATATTACAGTAAAAGTAGATATTTGTATAAATAGAATTTTAAAGGATCAGTGTAACCAATTATTTTGTTCTTCTCCCGTTCAAGTTAAAAGAAAACTGAAATTACCAAAGATTGAAAGCCTTAAATTTAATGGTGAAATTAAGAACTGGCCTGCCTTTTGGTGGCAGTTCCAAAGAATTCATGAAGATCAAAATATAGAAAATGAGGATAAGTTCAGTAGTTAATACAATGCAAGCTCGTGAGCTCGTGATATTGTTAACAGTTATGCACCAACAGGTGAAAATTATAATAAAGTAGTAGAACGTTTAAAATCATGTTTTGGTTGAGATGAATTACTTATTGAGTTCTACGTACAAGAACTGTTGAAGTTAGTCATAAAAAATGCTACAGGCAATAACCGAAAATTAGATACTGTTAGAGACTGTACAATAAACTGGGATCCTATTCGAGAGCTCTGGAATCCACTGATTTGACTTCGTATAAATATTCTGCCATGCTTTTCCCTCTCACTAAATCTTGCATACCGGAGGATAATTTTAGGGTGTGGTTGCGAAATCCAATAGTTAGTACACTGGATGAGTCAGCGGAGAATCCATACAGTGAGAAGCTAAAAAGCTTGTTACTGTTTATGAAAATGGAAGTACAAGGAGAGGAGTGAGTTCTTTTAGTGAAATCTGGGTTTTTCAAATAAATATGAAAAAGGAGAGAAAGAAAAAGATGACTAAAGCTCTTAATCAACGACAGCTGCAGATTTATTTTCAGGAGTTTTCAAAAAGAGAAAACAAAATGCAGCTTGTGTATTTTGTAAAAAGGCAAACGAGAGCAGAGATTGTTTTAAGGCTCAAACTCTGAATTTCCAGCAGAAACAAGATATTTTAAAGGAAAAGAAAGTCTGCTTTATATGTTTAAGAGCCGGACATTGATTAAAATTTTGCAAAACAAATATTAAATATATTCTTTGTGGAAAAAGACATTTGGTTTTAATGTGTCCACAGCTGAAAACTAATAAATTAATTAATAATTCTGTTAAATCTGAAGAATCAAAACCATGCGACAACAGCCTGTCAAATTTCTGTTACTCTAAAGTTTTACTTCAAATGTTACAGGTTAGATTGAAAACAGGAAATAAAGAAAAACAAGCACGGGTACTCATAGATAGTGGTTCCCAACATTCATACATATTGAAGACAACTGTACAAGAGATGGGTATGGAGCCAATTAGTAACAGGTTTTTGATTCACACACTTTTTGGAGGATTAACGACAGAGATGAAGGAGGATTGTCAGTATAAACTTGACACTGAATCCTTAAACAATACATTTTCCTGTAAGACAGAAACTCTAGATCAGTCTATTATTTGTGGAGAAACTCTGTGATTAACAAAAGGAGGATCATGAGTGAAAGAGTTAAAGGAAAAGAAGATATAGATTAATGATTATGAAGAGAATTTTCTTGATATCGAGATATTGATTGGAGCTGATTTTTATGGTAATTCGTTTACGGGGAAAATTCATTTATCTAAAGTGTGGCTTAGTCGCATATGACACACTTCTTGGTTGGCTGATTATGGGGGAAATGTTTGATGAGAATCCTGTTAACACCTCTGAAAACATAATCACCTCTCTACTGATAAAAAATTCATCAATTGCTGATCTGTGGAACTTGGATACTCTAGGCATCGGAGATCCTGTTAAAATAAAATCTAAAGAAGAGACACATCAATTAGTTATGCAACAGTTCCAGCGAACAGTGAGAAGGGATAAAGAAGGTTGGTACATCGCAAAGCTGCCTTGATTAGAAGAACAGGAGATTTTGAAGGAAAATAAATTGGTTGCAGTGTGCAGGTGTGCATCAACTGTGGAGAAACTTATTAAGAAAGGCAGATATGCAGATTATGATGCTGCTTTCCAGGAATGGTTAGCAGAGAATATTATTGAAGAAGCACACCTTAGGAAGCAAATAAAATTCCATGCCATTATTTATCCCATCAAGGCATTTTCAAGAAAAGCTGTACCAAAGTGTTCGACCTGTTTTCGATGCCTCTTGTAGATCCAGTCATTCTCCATCACTCAATGATGTTCTAAAGGAACGACCAAACCTTTTAAAGACTTTCCTTCCACTACTACTGAGGTTTGAGGAAAGACCAATTGGCATCGTTTTGAACATTAGAAAGGCCTTCTTACAGATTTCTGTTGCAGAAGAAGATCAAGAATTCTGTTGCAGAAGAAAATCAAGATGAGATTTTTATGGTGGGAGAATTTTGAGAAAAGAAAATTGAAAATTTATTGTCATAAAAGGGTAGTTTTTGGACTCACATATAGTCCATTCCTCTTAGTTGCAGTCATTAATTTTCATTTGGAGGAATGCATGATGATTTTCCAGAAACTGTGCATAAGAAATGCTGCCTTTTATGTGGATAACCGTGTAATATCTGTATATGATGAAAAGGAACTATTGCAATTTGTATATGAAGCTAAACAAATTCTAGCTTCAGCCTGTTTTGAGAATATACTTCTTTAACGGGAGATAAAAGGGGAAAGGATTCTCCTGAGACAGAAATTAAGATGTCCTTTTTCGTAACTTCAAAAATTTTTCCACTGAGAAAGAACCTGTAACAAGAAGAAATATTCTTTCAGCTGTCAACAGTATGTTTGATCTCATTGGATTGTTATGCCCAGTAACCATCTGCATGAAGATGCTAATACAAGATACAAGAAAGCTGGACTCTTAAATTAAGCTGGGATGAGGTATGTCCTGAAAGTGTTTGTAAAAGGTTTTCACTATGAATGGAAGATCTTCATTTATTATTGGAAATTAAAATTCCAAGATATGTTGATTGTGATGGTTCCTGAGATGGATTAAGTCTCCTTACTTTTTTAGATGCTAGTAAATCTGCTTACAGCACAGTTATATTTCTTCGTAAAGAAAACAATGATGAAGTAAAAGTTCATTTAATTCAAGTTAAGAGCAGAGTTGCACCCTTGACGAAAGCAACAATCCCCAGATTGGAATTATTAGCCTGTTGTATAGGAATGAAAGACATGTACAGAAGAGAAAAATTATATCTTACATTAGAGGAGAAATGAATCTGAAGAAGTCCCAACCACATGTTGGACAGATTCTTCAACTGCTTTGTTTTAAATTAAGAATGATGATAATTGGAATACTTTCATTAAAAATAAAGTTAAGAAAATTTGAAGTATCACTTCAGTGGATTCATGGAAGCATATTCCCGGCAGTCATAATCCGGCAGACCTCCCATCCAGAGGTTCTTCTCCAAAATTTCTCTTTACATCAAATTGGTGGGAGGGACCAGAGTGGCTAAAGCAGTCCGAGGACAACTGGTCCAAATCTCAGATTCAAATCAATAGTGAACACGTTTACGAAGAGCAAAAGAAGGGAGAAAGTACTTTAGTTAACAGTTCTGTGTCAGATGAGCGATGATACTTACGGCAATTTTCCAAGTATTCAAAGATTTTGCATTCAATAACCTGGATACTGCATTTCTACAATAAATGTAAAAATTCTGAGAACATAATGAAGGGAGAGTTGTCAGTACAAGAAATTTCGTGCCAACTGATTCTCGTAAAAGGAACATTCCTCATAAATCTGAAAATGTTAAAAGGGACAATGAGTTAAAAGGAACTGATTTTGAACTAAAAACTAGATGTGGCAGAAAAATAGTCAAACCTTCTTGTTATAAGTGATTTTCTTTTTTAAGAATATGTTCTGTATTATTATTTAATTTACATTGTGAGTATAGTATATTGAGTATTATGCAAGTCTATTAAGTAGAAAGTTAAAATTTTTATTTTAATTAAATTTTTTGATTTTCATAGATTATTTTAAGAAAATCAAAAGGTGAGAGTGTGCTGTGAGCTCCATGTTTTTATATTTGTTAACGATATTCAACAGCCATTGTTCTTCTTTTATTTTAAACAGAGTTTTGTTTTTGTAGTTTGGCAACAGTAAGAAAGATTAGAATAATGTTTTGATTTCCTTAAGTGTGTAAGCAAATAAAGTTTTGGCATTCTTAAGCAAGAAAATGTAATTGTTTATTTAAAAAAATTTCTTTTCAAGTGTTACAGAATGAAGTCAGATTTAATCTAAAGGTGAGAACGACTGAATGAAATAATATTTAGGTATATTCAATGCAATAAATAACATACCGAAAATCTTAAATGGAAAAGTACCAAGCCAACAACATCAAAAAAAAAAAAAAAAGTGTGATGAATGAAGATGAAGAAATTCCTTTAGCTAACAACTTAAAACAATAAAACTGTATTAATTATATGAAATTTATATGAAATTCCCACTGTTTAGAAAAGAAAGTGAACAGTTGGAGGTTCAATAATCTACGAACGACTCTAATCCATTCCCATTTTGGGAAGTAAATACACAAAAATTGCAATTCTTTGAAAATTTCTTTGGTGAAAAACTTATTGGTTATTATGTATAACATAACTTTTTTAACAAAGAAATGATGAGTCTAGGACTTTTTGCAATTGCTATTTCAACGTTGCCGTTTCGCCGTCAAGACATATTTTTCTTTACATGACTGTATTATATCTTGCCTGTTATATACGTAACTGTAACTGTATCTATTATTACCTTTAACTGTAATCTAGAATAGTAGATGAGCAATGTAGAACAAATGATGTCTGTGTACATCTTGGTAATCATCACTGAGCACATACCCAATATATAAAAAACAACACATGGCACAGTCAAGTGGACCGTAGATTAAAAAAAGAAAATCTTTTTTGAAAAACCATGCAGCGTCAGTAAAGATATTCTAAACAAAAACATGATGGGAAGTTGTTTATAGTGAAATCAAAACTTCTATCCCTGGTAAGTGTGTTCTTTATTTTTATTTGAAGTGGCTAAAAATATTTAATGGCTAAAAGTGGCTAAAATATGTATGTTTAAATGTAAACTATTTAAAGTTCCACATTAAATATGGATGGATTAAAGCCACCAAATAATCTAAATTTCAAAGGTAATTTAAGCGAAAATTGAAAGAAATGGAAACAAAAATTCCAAATTTACATGTTAGCGTCTGGTGGTATTGCTAAATCACCTGAAATTAAAGTAGCTATTTTATTGCATATTATTGGTGCAGAAGCACTTGAAAAGTTTAATACTTTTAACTTAAGTGAAGAAGATAAGAAGGATGCTGACAAAGTAATTGAAGCTTTCGAAAATTTTTGCATACTGAAAGCAAATGAAAGTGTTGATAGACATATATTTTTCTGTCGAACACAACATGTAGGTGAATCGTGATTTGCAGAATTAAAAGATAGTTTAATAAGAATTAGAATACTAAGTGGAATTCTAAATAAAAATCTCAAAGATAGATTATTAAGGGAAGATCAAATGACATTGGAGAAATGTATTAAAATGTGTAAAGCTTCTGAATTAGCAGAAATTCAGCTGAAAACTTTAATTGAGGAAAATAAAATAGAAGTGATCAAACGTAATAAATTTTGACCTTCAGAGGAAAAGTTCAGCCTTGTAAGAAAAACTATCATGTAAAACAAAAGCAACAAAGTACTAAATCTTCTTCAAACTATCAAGGAAATAAGTACAATAATCCAAAACCATGTAGAAAATGTGAAACTTTTCATAAGTTATACAACTGTCCTGCTTATAATAAGATTTCCTTGTACTGTAAAAAGAAAAATCACTTTTGCTGTCTTTTCATCTCTTTACAAGCATACCATTGGTTGCCTCTTGTGTTATCTCAGCAACATTTTTGGCAGTCTGACAAACAACCAGCAGGTTTACACATAATTCCAAGTGAATGCTTATGGTTATTACAATGGTACAGCAGAATTCTTGATGACTGTTTTGTCATTGGATGGAAAAGAAATCTCTATTATCTAGGAAATATTTCAGTTACAAAGCTAGCTTTCTCAGTTAAATAAGGATAAGTCTAGCCATTTTATACTGAGATTTATTCTTAGATTTGCATCAAATAAGTAATTGTTCTGATTAAAATAAATAATAAATAAATTAAAATCCTGATTAAAATAAATAATAAAATAAGTAATTGTCCTGATTAATTGACATAATTATATCAATGTATAGTTTCATGCATTCTTTTTGCAATTTTCCACTGCAAATCAAATATTAATTAAAGTACAACTGAGAGAAATAAAATAATGAGAAATCAAAGAAAAATGGCACCTTTTGGAAAAGTTTCACCAGAACTTCTGTAGTATCTATTTCCTCTCCACACATTTTTTGTAGAATTAAACTCAGAAATTCTTTGCAAAAGGCATATGTAACCTAGAAAGGAAAGTAAAATACAAAGAGATTAGCAATTACAGCTAATTAATTAATAATAAAAATTTGAATAATTATTACCAGAGGATAGAACTATTAAATTCAGAGAGTAAAACTATTTTATATAAAGACTGTACAAAAACAGTACAAATACTTAAGATGCATGTAGAATTCTCAAAATATTAAAAAATAAAAATAAATAAAAAATAATTAAAAATCAAGAAAAACCAAATACAGAAACTGATGGGAACAACATAAATTGCTGCTTTCGACATTAACCATTAAAACTGAATGCTGACTGAAAATCAAATATACACATCTAATGCACGCAAAATGACTATTTCAGTAAATGAATATTTCATGCATTTTTTATTGCTTCTTATACTATTTAATGGACAAGATTTCTTTAGTTCAAATGGAAATCTATGGAAATAAACCATAACCACTTTCAAAATGATAAACAGCATCCACAAAAAACAACTGCCCTTCTTCCTGTATATTTTGACATTGTATCTCTAAATGCTGTCATCACTGATATATAGGTGCATTTCATGATCATTCTGGTATATTTTATTACAAAGTAAAATGTTTTTTCACTGAAAGAATGGTACAGACTGTTCAGCATTATCTTGAATCATACCTCATAGAATTTACATGGCATCAGTGAACATTAAATGAAAATCCCTTTGAAGTCATATTAACAGACAGATATTAACATTATATGCAAAATTGTGCAACTAAGAAACAGCATAAAAGGAACAGATGTAAGTATAATTTGGTTACATTCTACTTTATTTGTATCATTGTTATTTCTGTGTTTTTTCTACTTGATTGTTTTTAGTACTTTCTAATTACCTGCACATTCACCAAAAAGTCACAAAAAATATTGATGAAGCATAAAACAGTATTTATATGGCAATACCCAATGTCAGTAAAAAGTATTTATGTGACAAGTTCAATACATGTGAATTTTCACTTTTGAAATGCAATGCTCATTTTTCTGATTAATATTTTTTTCTCATTGTTTTTGTTGTAACAAGTCATAATGAAACTGTAGAGTGGGATCACTTTTATTTTTCATTATATTGGAATGTACATTAATATTTCAACTGATGTTGGACAATCATAATTGTGGCTAGTGCAAAATTCTCTGATGACTTTTAGCAAAAACACAGAGTTTTGAAATTGTTGATGAAAACTGTTGTCCATTGTGAAATTCTTAGCAAAAATTAATATGTTTTCACTAAATATCAACAGATGTAATTTCACAAATATGTACACTGGTTATCATAAATTAAGGAGGCCCACCAGCGGCCGAGCGGTAAAGTCGCTGAACACTGGTAGTTCGGTCCGAGGTTCGAATCCCGTGAACGGGCTGGCTGCATGTGTGTTTTTGTGGTTTTCTCCATGTGTAACGTGTATACGAGCCAGTTTCCCTTAGAAAGTCCTCCACAAAGGCATCCCTCCTCTTAGGCAGATAGCCCTCGTGTGCTTTGCCATAATTAAATACATACACACACACATAACTTAAGGAAAAATCACAAAAATCCCGATTACTGAAAAAGTTACATGTAGAATTTAATGAAACTTACCCACAATATACAACACATAGTAAGGTATCAAATAACATAAAAAAGAAATTACCAGACAAATATGGTAATATAGAAATTAGCACATGTATAAAATGAACAAATCGAAGGCGTCGGTTTGCTATAGGAAAAGTACCTTCAATATGGAATTTGATCGCCTCTAGAAGCAATACAGCACATGCAGCGATGTGTGATGCTTTCAATTATGCGGTCTATCAGTTCCGTAGGAAGCAAGAGCCATTGCTCTTGCAAAGCAGTTGCAAGCGCGGCAAGGGTCTGAGGGGGCGGATTGAGAGCTACTAGTCGTCTCCCTAAAGCATCCCAAACGTGCTCGAAAGGGTTCAAGTCCGGGGATCGAGCTGGCCACTCCATGCGCATAATTGTTTCCTGTTGAAGATAATCATATACGATGCAAGCCCTGTGTGGTCTTGCGTTGTCGTCCTGTAACAGAAAAGCATCACCTATTGCCCAGACATTTGGGCACACATAAACATCAAGGATGTCATCTCTATAAACCTGAGCATTCACAGTTCTCCTTAGAAAGACATGGAGGTCTGTGCATCCACCCAAAGAGATGCCATCCCAAACACAGACACTGCCTATTCTTTATGCATCTCTTTCACGGATTTTTACTGATGATAATGGGTTCCAGGTTCTCTCCATATTAATAACACTTACTATCGCTTTCTAGACTAAACCTGGACTCATCCGTAAAGAGAACAGTCCTCCACTGATCAGGCGTCCAGTGGATGTATTGTCATGCCACTGCAAACAGTCCCTCTTATAGCGTGAGGTGAGTGGCACGCAAATGGCCGGTCACCTCGCACATACAGACCACCTTCATAACCACCTACACACAGTTGACGTTGAACACCAACCTTCCGGTGGCTGCAGCAAGGGAGGATCTAAGAAGAGTTGGAGTAGTGGTTCTATTCGCGCGTGCACGTAATGTCGATAATCGGTTATCGGAGCTTGTCGTAGCAGTTGGCTGTCCTTGGCTGAACCTCCTAGATGCCGAATCTGTGGTCTGAAATTGCCTCCAAAGTCTATGAACCATAGAAGGACTCACATTTAGCCATCTGACCACTTCTGTTTGACTGTTGTCCTGCCTCTAGTCTTCCCAATGGCCTTCTATCGTAGTTCTGCAGGCAAATGATGCCTCGAAGATTATTGTTTACGAATTGGCTATTCTCAGATTTCTGATGTTCACTATCACAGTGAAATATGTGGGCTTGCTCAAACATGGACTCTCTAACATGGACTTCCTTGCAGATGACGCATTCCGAGTGCAGCGCCACTAATTTGCATATTGGAGTTTTGCTCAGCTTACTCTTACCCTGGCAACATATTCAAGTTTTACACTGTTTGGCTTATTTTTGAGGGAGTTATCGCTATTTTTGTGATTTTTCCTTAATTTATGATAACCAGTGTATATAGGGGAGAACAATGGTGCAAAAAAATTAAATAAGATTTCTCAAAATGTTAAGCATTTTATGTTTTAAATTATTGTAAAAAAAGGCAATACTGGATCCACCATTGAAATAAATCTAACAATATCCAACTAAAGACTTGTCTCCAAAGTTGGCAACAAGATTCCAAATGCTCTCCAAAATCAAAAGTGAGTTCAGGATCTTTCTACTCGGAGCACCGCAGTTCTACTGGGCTGCAGATAATCAAAAATACAAATATTTCACTCAGCATAATTTGTGCTTAGCAGTGTTTTTTCACAGTGTCCATTATAATAAACATACAGTAAAATTTTAGCATGCAAACCTCAAGCCTCTCTAAATATACTATTTCTTTTAATTTTATTTAAACAGAAATATAATTTTTTAATATTTTTCTGTTCAGAACAATAATGTGAAAATAACAAAGTTTAAATACTGAAGTTATTTTTCAGTTTAATTTTATTCAACAGAATAAAAATTTAACTTTTTGATTTGACAACATTAAATGATGTTTTTACTTAAAAAGATAAATATTTTTTCCTCTCATTGTTGTGACTAATCTAACTTGTCTGATATCACAGCAAACATACAAAAATTATCGTGGCAAATAAGCAAGATTGTGCCTCTTACTGGTAAAATCCTTGTGCCCCATACAGGTGACAGAATGGCTTTGGTCAGTTCTTTCCCTAATTTTGAAGGAGAGCACCCCAAGAGGATGGGTCCATGGGTCTCCTACCCCTCTTTCATTACCACTAAAATCTCCAGAGGAATTTTGTCTAGCCACATATTTAGAGTGCTCCCCCCATGCCACACACACACACTAGATATTTACAAACATGGATTTAAACCCATGTCTTATCTGGTATTTAAACCCAGGCCCTTCCATATGGCAGTCAGAGTGACTAGCCACTATCCCAGTTGGGTGGCTACTTTTCTCATAAGTACGTTGTTGAAAAGAAATATAATTTTTCTACATTAGAGGAACCAGAAATAAGCAATATTTTGTTTCCAATGGTTAACTTTAAATCTGCCTACTCCTTGACAACTTTGTGTTGACCTCAGAAGAGGAGAATAATCTCTTTCACATCCTTTGGCAACATAAAGTGACATTTCTTGTTATCGATGTTAAGATAGTGGGCCACAGACTGAAAAATTTGAAAAGTGAGAATGGACTCCAAACACTTCTCTCACTCAGCTGTGGCAGGTAATGTCATTAATATTGTTTAGTGAAAATTAACAATAAATAAATGTAAATATTTCTATATACAATAAAAGGTGCATTCAGTCCAGAAATTTGGCTTATTTGCTAACTATATTGCAGTATGTATGATAACTGAATTTTTTGTATGATATTACATATTTTTAAAAAGATTTAATTCTGTGAAGTATTAAATTGTAAGCTTTCATCTCACAAGATAATTACTTTAAATTAATTTATTAGAAATATATGGTACTTTTTTGTCATCATGAGGTGGTTATCTAAGGATGATGATCATTGCAGGAAGTACGTGTGTGATATATGATTTCCTGACAAAAGGGCACGCAAAGGGAGAAACATCACTATGATAATTGCTCATGAGGAAAATACACACACCAATGAAAGCACACACTGATAAAAGGCTCATATTAATATAAGACCATACTGATAAAAGCTCACACCAAAAGAACACATGGATTTTGTCACTATAAAATGTATTTTTAATTGCAATTATAGTAAGAGTATTCAGATTTGAATTTAAATGTCTCAAAAATATGTCTGATATTTTCTCTAAATAATAAATTTTTACGTGATATGTTTTCTTTTTCTTAATCTAAATGAAATAATATTTAACATCTAATAACAGCATTAAACCCATCAAATAAGTGCTTTTTGTAATTCTGCTGAAGATATTGCAGAAAATCCTTCCAGTTTATTTGCATGAAATATATTTTCTTCACATGTATCTTTTGGTACATAATATGTTTA